GCCAGATTTACCAATATTTCATTTTATAATTTTTTTTATCCGATTACTCGATTAATCGTAATAATCGATAGATTACTCGATTACTAAGATATTTGTTTACAACAGCCCTAAAATGAAACCTTTTCCTGACGTCTGACTCCAACAGATCAGGAGAAGTCGCTGCAGACTCGCCTGTCGTCCATCAGCAGCCGTCAGCTGACTGAAGAGCAGCAGGTCCAGAACATCTCACAGACGGTCAAACACATCGGTCAGCAGCAGCGGACCTTCAAGTCGAAGGTGCAGGAGGTCGAGACGCTGATCGGTGCCATGAAGAAACTTCTGGACGAGGCAAAAACCAAAATCCAGGCCGTGGTAAGAGCTGCTGACCAGGAGTGGGACGACCTCCAGAGTTTCTCCTGATGGGATTTTAACGTCGTTGATGTGAAGCTGCAGAACGGTTCCTGTTTCCTGTTTCCTGTTTCCAGACGGTTTGCTTTGTTTCCTGTTAGGAGCTTCCTGTCCGCGATGATCCGCTGACTTCAGGCTCGCTGTCCTCGCTGGTGCAGCAGGCGACAGGACTGGCTGATGAGTAAGATCTGAATCCGTTTAATCTGATGAATCTGCTTCTCCTTCATCATCATCATCATCATCATCATCACCGTTTCTCCTCCCAGACACAAGACGGCGGCGGACTCCGTGGAGCAGACGGCCAACGAGGCTCTGAGCGACTCCAAGCAGAGTCTGGATCTGGTCCGGACTCTGATGAACAAGGAGAACAAAGTCAAGGAGCTGATTGGAGATCTGCAGGATCTGTGAGTGGATCCTCAGATCCCCACTGTGGGTCACCGCTGACCTTCACCCAGTCTGACCTCATCCTGGACCTCATGAGGTTTAGAGCCAAAAAGAAAACAGAACAGGAAGGAAACTGTCCAAAATGTCCTGCAGCCGTTTCTCGTCTGCTGCAGTAAAGATGTTTATGATCCTAACAGATTAAGATGATAATCTGAGATCAGCTGCCGCCTCTCAGGGCTCCATCCTGGGCCTTTTCCCTTAGACTCATTTCTAAGGAATATAGTTTTATTTTCATTGGTTTACTGATAAACTCCACGTTCATCTTTATGTTAGATTTTATAGTCAGCTACTCTTTCTGAACATGAAACATTCGGTGGAAGCTGAATTTTCTGCTGCAGTAGAATCAGAGTTTCTGGCTGTTTTGAAGGATCTGGATAAAAACCTTGTAATTTTCTCCTGTTTTATCCAGATATGATAAAACCTCAGCAGATGTGAAGAGTTTGGAGAAGCGAGCAGGAAGTCTGAGTGACGACGCCAAACAGGAGACCAAGATGGCCGACAGCATGCTGAAAGACATTTCCAGGCTGGAGAAGAACCTCCCATCGTCGATGAAGGTAGGAGCTGCTGCACTAGCATTAGCATTAGCATCAGCATCAGCGGCTACTGAAGGTCTCTGAGTCAGAGGTGTGTGATGATGCTCAGGACGCTGTGGACGCCATGGCAACCAGGCTGGACGCCCTGAAGGAGGCGGCGCAGAAGAACATGTCCGCCGTGGACGATCTGCTGGGCGCTGTGGAGGACGACCGGACCGACGCCGAAGATCTGCTGGATCAGGGACAAACCGCCCAGCAGGTACCGACCAATCAGAAACCAGCAGAGGGAGCTCAATATTTCAGTTACGATGACAGGAAGTCGGTCAGGAAGCAGAAGCTGCTCCTCTGATCAGCTGGACGTTTGTCTGCAGGAGTTCAACGAGCTGCTGGACCGGGTCAGAACCGCTAAGGCTGAAACCGACAAGGCTCTGCAGAGCGTCGGCCCCAACAACGACCTGGACGACACTCTGAGCACCTTGAGAGGTACGGACCCCCGCGGCCAGCAGGTGGCGCCGTGGGACCTGTTAACCCTAACCCACCTCCGGTTCTGGTGGTGGAGCTCACCAGAACCGGGCTTCATCTGGTACCAGGGAGCTGAATTACTACCTGTCAGAACCAGTCAGAACCAGTCAGAACCAGGCAGCCTGTTAGAACCAGTCAGAACCAGTCAGAACCAGTCAGAACCAGGCTCCCGTTGGTCTTTTCCTCACTCGTCTGTTTGTGCCTCCAGGTTTTGACCAGCAGATCAGCGACAGTAAAGCTGAAGCCGATGAAGCCATCAAGCGTCTTCCGAACATCGACGGCACCATCCAGGCAGCTGTGGGTAAAAACGGCCAGGCCCAGTCGGTTCTGGACGCGGCGTCCAAAGATCACGACGAGGCGATGGGAAACATCAACGCGCTGGACGGCCTGGCTAAAAACCTCCAGGTAAAAACAGCAGTTAGACTTTAATGGAGGACAAACTTCTAAAGCTAAGCAGTACCTAGCATAAACTGAGGTTGAGCGCCCCCTGCAGGCCGAGGAGCAGCTGCAGTTTGGTTCAGGATTAACAGCCTGACTGCTTTTCTCTGGCTGGTTTTTAGTTTTTATTTTCTGACAGCAAATCAAATGTTGTGACTATTGATCATAAAAATAATCTGAGAACGGCTAAAGCTACGCGAGGCTAAAGCCATTCTAAGCTAAAGCTATGCTAGGCTAAAGCTATTCTAAGCTAAAACTATGCTAGGCTAAAGCTATTCAAAGCTAAAACTATGCTAGGCTAAAGCTATTCTAGGCTAAAGCTATTTTAGGCTAAAGCTATGCTAATGTTTCCCTCATCATAACTCCTGTCTCCTACTATTTCCTCTCATTCAATAAAATCTTCACATGAAATTTGAAGCTTTACTTGGACTAGGCCTTGTGACCATAAACTGTGTTTTTGTTATATACAGTAGAAAAATCCTTTATTATCCTCAGATTGGAAATTTAATTGTAACATCACCAAACCAACAGAAAATCAAAGCAAATATATTAATATGCAAAATGTAAAAACATAATGAAGAATAAAATACAACATATAATTTTCAACATAAATACTGAGAACATAAATATACATATATAAATACTGAGTACATAAATATACATATATAAATACTGAGTGATGTTTCAGTTGTTTATTTAAAAATACAAAATGTTCAGAATATTTGATCTTCAAAAACAAACTATTTACTATTAGTGACAATGAAAACTTTCAAACATCTTTGAAAGAAAAGTTGATATTTGTTGGATTTTTAAACCTCTGACCAAACGACCCGGCATCAGGAAGGTCAAAGTTCAACCGGGTTTTGGTTTGTTTCAGTAACTCTGCCTGGAACATTTTACAAATTGTCTTTTACATGTAAAACTATAGAAAGTATAGAAGACCCAACCTGAAGCTCGGTCCGTTTCAGCAGGTCGGCCCGAACGCTTCAACTCAAAACGGATCAAACTTCACAGGAAACAGATTATTAATATTTACATCACAGGATGTTTTTATCAAACTGATGGTTCTGATCTGGGTTTGGCTCTAAACTCTCGTCTGTTAGCCTGACGTTCACCACGACGTCTGCAGAGAATCTCAGGAGTTTTGTTTTCCTGGGAGACATTTTCTCCTCTGGGTTTCTGTAACGTGAAGTTCTGGTTCTGTCCGTCAGAACACGGCCGGGTCGCTGCCGGATGCTGGTGGTTTGGTGAGCGAAGCCGACAAACTGAACCAGGAGGCCAAGAACCTGAAGGCCGGAGCGGAGCGGACGGCCGAGGGTCTGAGGGACGGCCTGAAGGAGGCGGAGGAGCTGGCTGCTGGAGCCCAGGAGGTAACCATGGCGACCAGGAGCGATCAGATGATGGAGCAGGAGGCGGAGCAGGAGGCGGAGCCGAGGGAGTAACAGGTGTTTTCGTTGCAGGCGGCTGCCGGAGCCACCGCGGCGCTCGCCAACGCCAAGCAGAGCAAAGACGCCGTTCAGGAAACGCTGAGATCCGTCAGCAACATGCTGGCCAACCTGAGTAGGTTCTGCTTCCTGTCCGGTCCAGTTCTGATGAGCTGCAGGACCCAGTACAACCCAGTTCTACAGAACCCAGTTCCCAGTTCACTAGGTCCATTAAAACCCAGTAGAACCTGTTAGAACCCGGTAGAACTCAGTGGAACCCGGTAGAACCCAGTAGAACCTGTTAGAACCCGGTAGAACTCAGTGGAACCCGGTAGAACCTGTTAAAACCCAGTAGAACCTGTTAAAACCCAGTAGAACCCGGTCCGTGTCGTTCCTTCATGCTGACCCGATTCCTCCTGCCTCCCTCAGACTCCGGACCCGTTGTGGACGAGGAGCAGCTGCGGAGGCTGGAGGAGGCTCTGGGCCGGGCCGAGGCGGAGGTTCTGGTCCGCCTGCGGCCGCAGCTGGACGACATGGAGGACCAGGAGGAGGCGCATCGCCGCCGCCTCGCCGCCATCAACGCCGACATCGACAGCATCCTGAGGGACATCGCCAACCTGGAGGACATCCGGGACAGCATCCCTGCTGGCTGCTACAACACGCCGCCCATCGAGGAGCCCTGAGCCGCAGGGCGGGGGTCAGGGGTCGCAGGGCAGGGGTCAGGGGTCGCAGGGCAGGGGTCAGGGGTCGGGGGTCGCAGGTCAGGGGTCGCAGGCTTCAGACGCTCCAGAAGGGGAACGGTTTTCCTCCTCCTGGGAGTTTCCATCTGCTGGTGTTCATATCAAACCCTCCTGAGGAACCGGTTCTGGTCCGGATCGGTCGGTCCGCTCTGCTCATTTTAGTGTTCAGATTATTTTTCTACAAAATAAATAAAAACAACCGAACTTGTTGAGGACAACAAACCCTGGAGAACCGGCTGACGTCTTTATATACTTTATTATTTTACGGTCAGATGTTTATAAAATCAGTTTATCAGTTTTTACATAAATTCTGCATTATTTAACAATCCACAGTTTGAAACTTTAAAGTTTTAAATTGAATTCGTCCAAACGTTTCCATGTGTAACCATGGAAACGGTGGCTGTCATGGCGTTTCTTAGTGTTCAGGTTATTAAAACCTTTTTTTCAGTATTTATGTGTGAATAAGGAGAGAAAACATTTTAATTTCTCCACTTTCTGCAGGTTGTGGGAGCCGCTGGAACATGAATTTATAGATTAACAGATTATTGTTGCTCTGTGATGATCAGTCAGATGCATTTTTTTATCTTTTCTGTATTTATACTTGTACAGATTCATATCTTTTGCTGATATGAAAAATGTTTTTCTTTAGTTTTGTTACAAAACATGTTGGATCACTGAACAACAGAAATATTAAGCTTCCTTATTGATTTCTAATAAAATCAATTTCAAACCTTTGTTTCTGTTTAATCGCGTTTTTATGTTTCTGAGTTTTGGATCCGTCTTCATGTCGGTTCTGTGAGAAACGATTTTCATTTCACGTTTAACTTTTCTAAATTAAAAATTCTGTTGATTTATTTTTGCTCCTTCAAAACAATGTTTTGCTAAGAAAGATCAAAATTTTATCTCGAACCTACTGTAGTTTTAGTTTTAAGGAATTAAAGTATAGTAAGTTTTACTACCAGTAATTTATTCCTTAAACATGAGTTGTGGTAAAAATAGTTTAGTTAAATCAATAAAACTTAATGATTTTGGATTCATAAAGTTCATTCAGATATTTTCATGTAAACTTCAAATAAATCCAATAAAAGCTGTTTACTTAGAAGAAATACTTTATTTGGCCAGCAGAGGGTGTAAATGTAACCACAGTTGAATAAGACTCAGTTATTAAAGCTTAAATGAAGATAAAAATGTTTTAGTGCATTTTCTGTTTCATTTTCCAAACATCCTGAAACATTTTGACTAAATTTACATCCTGATCCATAAAGACTCGTTAAATCGACACATCGAGTTCAAACAGAAACCAGGCGGAACGGACCGGGACCAACATGAACACCTGGAAACACACACACACACACACACACACACACACAGACACACACAGACACACACACAGACAGACACACACACACAGACACACACACAGACAGACACACACACACACACACACACACAGAGATACACACACACACACAGACACACACACACACACACACACACAGACAGACACACACACAGACACACACACACACACACACACACACACACAGAGATACACACACACAGAGATACACACACACACAGAGATACACACACACACACACACACACACACACAGAGATACACACACACAGACACATCGGTACATTTGCAGTGAATAAAAAATGGGCGATGTTGGAGAGGATGATCTGAAGCTACGATTTCCTTATATCTATATTTATTATAACTATTTTATTTTCCAAACACGATCACAACAGACCATAATAATCTAAGGAGGGAAAAACATTCATGCCAAAACCAAACGGTCAGAAAAAATCATGCAGACGGAGAACAGGAGCAAACCGAGAGAAAACGTCCTGAAAACGTACAGAAGGAGCTTCTTCATCACCACCACCACCATCATCATCATCATCATCATCATCATCCTCCTCCTCATCATAAAGCCTCCCGGCTCAGCAGCTCCACCTGCTGGTCAACACATTCACAGTTCTGTGGCTGAAGGTTCTGCAGGAACTTCCGGGTCTTCCTCCAGAACCTCATCATGTTCTGATCAGAACCTTCTTTATTTACAGGCCAGTGGGAACGGCTCATGTTTTATAATTATTCTGGTTTCTGCAGATTCATTTACTGTTGATTCCCTAAGATACTCTGATGAGGAAGTGACGCGTTGCTGCAGCTGAAAACGGTTTAAAATCATTAAATTCACTAAATGTTCTGCTGCTTCCGTCGGTTTGAAGAGGAGATTACGGATTAGACTCCGCCCACATCAGATTACCGCAGCCACAGGGTGGACTGTCCTAAAGGAGGTCAGAGTTCATGAACTTCATCCGTCATGCAGTTCATATCTGGCAGCAGATTTCTGGATTAGTTGTTTTAATGTGGACGATGAAGCTTTCTGTCTGGATTAGGATTATGGGATTTCTTATCTTAAAGTTGGAAAAATCAGTTTAACAGCCTCAGAAGTCAGAAATACGCCTCATCCGACCCTCAGATCCAATATGGCTGCCATGCTAACAACATGTAGCAATAGCTTACAGAGTTTATATATCTACGGGTTGACTTCTCAGTAAATCAGCCTCTGATGTGACCTCTGACCTCTGACAGACTGATCTCTGGTTTCAGCAGGTTGGAGGGTTCAGAGGAACCAACAGGTTCTGGTTCTGGTGGTTTCACCTGCATGTTTCTGGGTTTTGGACTTGAGGAAATCCTAATGAAGTATTTTGTGAATTGGCTCCGATTGGATTGGACGGATTCTCCACCAGGAGATTAATTTGATGTTTCATGGTTTTCTGCAGATTTCAGACTAAATTCAGTCAATCAGAAGAAATTATGAAAGAAGTTTTTTCTGCAGACCTGATGCATGAAACCAGAGACCCTGATGCAGACGGGGAGTCACACTGAGCATGCCCAGAAGTCTGCCATGCATCTCTGACTTTTAAACATAACTTAACCCCCCCACCTCCCCACCACATGCCCCATTGCCCCCCCATGGTAAAGTCACATGACACAGACGGAGGAACTGAAGCTCCTGTTGGAGCTCAAAGAAGAGTAAATGTTGACACAGAAGACAGACAGGTTTCAGTTTTCTGCGGGGTGTCGGGGGTGGGGGGTGTTTATATAGATGGTAGCGTTAGGACCCCCCCCCCCACCTCGTCCTCCATATTGACGGTGCGGGTCTCATGCAGGCGGATCCCTATCCCGAGGCGTTGATGTACAGCTGGCTCTGCAGGATGTAGTCGATGACGGGCTGACTCAGGTAGTCGACGACGTGTCCGTCTCCGTGCTGCAGGGCCAGTCTGGGGGGTAAATATGGCAGTTAGGGGGCAGAACCAACCATAACCCTAAACCTACTGCAGGAATCAGCTCTGGTCCAGGTAACGCCTCCTACAGAACCGCTGAATGGTTCTGTGACCACAAACATGAACCGTTACCTTCACTTCTCCTTTGAGTCTTTATAATTTTTCTTTAAACTTATCTGAAGAGATTTAAACGTTTCATATCAACCAGCTGTGGAAATCCTATAGTTCAGTTTTTATTTCAAGTCTATTAGTGATGGAGAAACTTTGTTTGGACTTTCTTGGACCATAAATCGACGTTTCAGAGACGAACATTCGATGGAATACCTGAACGCGTTTCACAGAAAGCCAAAGTGATCGGATCAGGAGATCAATACGGCCATCGGTTCTGTCACCAACCTGCTCTTGGTGGAGCTGACGATGGACATGGGGTGGTGGGTCGCATCCTTCACCACGACGATGTTGTCCTGAACACAGAAGATCTTAGATGTCAGCAGACATTCGCTGGATTTTATGACCAAGCAGAAAAGAGACAAAACTCTGAGACGAGGACAAAGTGTCCAGAAACGGACGGAGAACCGCGACCAGAGGAAACACACCATGGTTCAACATCAGCCTGGTTCTCACCAGTCAGTATTTTGTCCCTCTTGCTGCACCGTACTGCAGAAACCCACCTTGTACTTGCGGAGGATGGAGGAGTGGTTCATGATCCTCTCTGTGTCGACGCCGTCACGAGGAACGACCACGATGCCAAAATCACCAACAATCACCTCCATCTGAGAGCAGAGAGACGACCTTCAGGGTCCAGAACCAGGTTCAGGTCCAGACCTGGACCAGGTCCAGCCGGGCCGGACTCATCTCAACCTCAGGGTGGAGCCGTTAGTCAGTCCATTCAGAAAACCAGCTAACTAGTCCTGGTTTCATCTCCAAATAACCAACAGTAACAGACAAAATCATCAAATTCAAACCTGTTTACAGATATAGACAAACAAGAGGATTTAAAGGTATTTACCCACTTCAAACAGCAGGGGGTGCTATTTCTAGCAATGCAGATATTTAGAGAAACATGCTGGATCTGTCCTGAGTTCAGATCTACAAACGGTTCATTTAAAGGATCATTCCAGAGTTTCCATCTGGAGTTTTTATCATAACCATAAAAACATGGATGGAAACAAATTTAATCTTCATCTTCTTCCCCGAATGTCTGATTAAACTAAGAGTTTTTTGTTTCTATTGAGTCTCGGCTAACTGAGGGGAGGGGCTACATGTAGTTGGGCGGGGCTACATGTCGGTGGGCGGGGCTTATGCATGTGGGCGGGGCTACATTGTGCTTACATCACTGTCCTTCCAGAGGCCAGGGATGCAGAAGGACTCCAGGAGATCACTGCCACACAGGAGCAAGATGCGCAACTCTACAGAGGACGGACAGGCAGGGAAAGAGACAGACACGTCCTCAGTAAACATGGCGTTTACTCGCTCAGCGCCGTAAGCATCATGTTTACTGGATCCCAACAAGACCAGAAGGAGTTCAGACAGGAAGGAAACCAGAGGATCCGCTCAGGTCTGGAGAAAACTCACCAATCTCCTCATATCTCACCGTCGTCCCCAGGTTGGCGTTTTCATCTGAAGCACAAACACAGATTTCACTCTGACCTTTCAACTCCAGAAACTCTCCTGCACACTGATAACCAACCGCTGCATTTTATCAGTCAGACAGAATAAAGTCAGTTTAGCACTAAGTCTCTGATAATAATCAGTTTTATGCATTTTTGTCTAATAGGCAACAAAACCCGACGCAGCCAGACTGTGGCTCTGACCGAGTTCATCTGTTTCTGCTTTAACAACCTGGTTTGATTCCAACATTCATGTTTTCACATCATGTTGAACTTAAAACTCAAATTCATTCAGTTTCCCTGGTGGATGAAAATATTAAATCATAATTTTCTTCAGCAAAACATGAAATAAAATCAGATTTTCTCACCAACAAACGTGAAGCGCTCCATGTTGGGTCGGACGCAGCAGATTTTACCCAAACTCTCACTGATCTTCCCCCAAACTTTGACTAGACAGAAACAAAAGGTTCACATCAGAAGTTCGACTGGAACCAAGAGGCCAACAGTTTCCTAATAATGATAAATTTATTATGATATAAAGTTAACCAGCAGCAACACTGACAACATCAGGCTCAACTATCAGAGTTTAATGTTCTAACAAGTAATTAATTATTAACAAGAGACATTTTATTCTTTTCTATTCTAGTTTATTCTACTCTGTGCTGTAGCTCTGATCTATGCTATGCTAGGATGTTATGCCATGCTAGGATGCTATACTATGCTATTCTGGTCTACACTATGATAGGATGCTATGCTATGCTAGGATGCTATGCTATGCTATGCTAGGATGTTATGCCATGCTCCTCTATGTCCTGTATAAACAGCTGTAACATTCTGCTGCTCCGTTCCTGCAGCCTGACCCCGGCTGACCACTGGTGTTGGACTCACTGGCTGTGGGTTTGTGGTTCATGTTGTTGTGGTCCTGGTAGATGGGCGGAGTCTGGTTCTGTGGCTGACCAATCACAGGGGTGGTGGAGGGCGTGTTGACATTGGACAGGATGCAGCCAGTGACTCTCTGAGGGGCAGAGATGCTTTACAGGTTTGAACTAGGCCACACTGGGCTCCCTGCCTCTACTCAGATGGAGTTTCATCTGATCTATCCGACGTGGATCAGATGAAACTCCATGTTTAAAATGTCTATAAAGCTCAGTAAGATGCTGTTCTAACCAATGACAGGTGGAATCTACCGTTGGATGAAACCAGTCCCAGGTTTAAACTGGTCTCACTGGTTTTATCTGGACCTGGTCAGAAAAAACCACTGGTTTCTGTTCTGATTATTTTATCCAGTTATTGTTTGGTTTTATTTTGAGTTTCATCATTTTTCTCTTTCTTTACTCAAACTGTTTCATGTTTTTCTTTCTTTTTATAATTTTATCTTCCTTTGTCGTTTCTTCACAGCTTTTTTTCTCTTTCATTTTCTTTGTGTTTTTGCGCAGCAGTTTTTTTTTCTGTTTATATATTTTTTAGGATTCATTTTTCTAGCAGGTTGACGTTCTATTTCCAGTATTTAGAAGCTTATACTTTTATTTTTACTTCTTTTCCATCAGTTTTCTTCAGGTTTTGTTCCTTCCTCTGATGATGTTTCAGGTCTCTTTTGGTAATTTGTGTGATTTTGTTGTAACCTGTAAGTGTCACAATGTGCAGTAACTGGTGGTGAGGAAGACACGATGGATGGTTGTAGAATGAATTATGATGTTTTTAATGAAAAATGTCAGAATACAAAGTCCAGGCAGAAGGCTAGGAGCTCAGAGACTGGTAGCTGACAAATGTAACGAGACGACAGAACAGACATGAGACGAAGAACCGGCAAGGAACACGAGACACAGCTGGGATTAAATACAGAGGGAAACCAGGGAACGAGTCACAGCTGGGATTAAATACACAGAGGGAAACCAGGGAACTAGTCACAGCTGGGATGAACCAAGGCTAGCCGACAACACGGAGACTCAACTGAACACAGAACCTAAAATCAACTTACAGAAAAACCAAATCCTCACAGTAAGTTTTTATTGTGGTCACTGCAGTTTTTCTGATTTGCTTTTGACTTTTATTTTGTCTCCTGTAGTTTTGTTGCATCTCTTTGCTATTAGTCTTTACAGTTTTTAATCTATTTAAGGGTAAAGTTTTGTAGACCCTTGACCCCATGTGACCCCTCATCCGTTCATCAGGCCTAATTATTAATCACTTTACAAACATAAAATCCTCCTTTAGCTTCATTCAGTAAATGAAATTCTGACTCAAAGTCAACATAAATTTGTTTATGTTGACTTTTGTTATAAAATGAAAAGTTTAAATTTCTCGATGTGACCAGAAACAGACCAGTAAACATCCAGTAACCAGTTTGTGAGCTGGGAGGGACTGACCTTCATGAGGTCGCGGTGGTGCTCCAACACGCTGCAGGTGGTCTGCCAGGTGTCCTGGTAACACTCCCAGGGGTCCACCCTGCAGGAGCAGCACCACTCAGAGCCGTTAGAGGAACAACATCACATTCTTCTTCATTGAGAACAGAAACAAACCGGCTTTAACAACATAACGTGATTGTTTCACCTGATCCAGTCAGACGTCTGGACGGCCAGCTGGCACATGGTGAGGCGATGGCGACTCGACACCAAACCCTGCAGAGACACAGAACCGACCATCAGGAGGAAAACCTGCAGCTCTGAGAGGAGATGAAACCAGAACCAGAGCAGAACCAGACGGTTTTAATCTGGACCTGGTCAGAACAAGGACCAGAACATTTCTCTACTTTATCTTTTAAACCTGGAGCTTCCTGTAGATTTTTCATCTTGTGATACTGAACTGATCAAACATGGAGTTAATAAGGTGAAAACTGACATGGATCAATAATTAATGATCAATCTGCTCATCGTTCAGCGGAAAGAGAAGAAAAGGAGCAGAAAGTTTTTTCTGCTGCATCAATAATTCATGTTTCTGTGGAGGCAGAAAGAAAGTAGGACAAGATTTCATTAAACCTGCAGAGCTGCAGCTGCAGACACCGAGGAACGACCCGGCAGAACCCGGTTCTGATCCAGCTGGGGGAACCCGGTTCTGATCAGAGAGGATGGAGGGAAACAAACAGAACGACCCGGCAGAACCGGGTTCTGATCCAGCTGGGGGAACCCGGTTCTGATCAGAGAGGAACCAGGTTCTGATCAGAGAGGAACCCAGAGGACCCGGTTCTGATCAGAGAGGAACCTGGTTCTGATCAGAGAGGATGGAGGGAAACAAACAGAACGACTCGGCAGAACCGGGTTCTGATCCGGCTGGGGGAACAGTCCTGAATAAAGATCGGGTCGGAGCGGACCGATCCACTCCTGGTTCTGACTGTAATTCACCTTGAATGTTTTTCTCCTTCACAGAGAATCAAACATCTGAAACCTGTTTGCTGCAGATGATTTAATAAAACAAAGTTTTGATCTGTAAACATGAGAGTTTCACCGCCTGGTGAAATTAATATCACTCAGTTTGTATTTTACATAAAACCTCAAATTACTCAGAAACATCTAAAATCAAATCAATCCAGTCATTTAAATGGATTCTAATCAGATCATTAAAGTTTGAAGCTAAAGTTAAACAGCCGTTAAATCAGTTTATTACTCCAACTGATATAATCCAGGCTTTCCAGCAGGGAGTCAGACTCCAGGCCGCTGCAGCTTTTAGATGTTTCTCTGCTGCACCTGAACAGAATAATCAGGTCATTAAGGCTCTGGAGATCCAATCCACACCAGGAGGCGATGAAGCCGTTTCATTCCAGTGTGGCTCATCTAAAACCTGCAGGACAGCGGAGGACTGGAGTTTGACTTTACAGCAATCCAAGCATGTGGAGACAGTGGAGAGGAAAAACTAGAGAGGTCATCTAGAACAGATGACCTCTGACCCCAGGGGAAAACACAGCATGAGTTTCTCTGAAATGTTCCTAAACTTAAAAAATCAAACTTTTCATATGAAACATGATAGAAATATTTTCTACATAGATAAAACGCTGCAGGTTTGTGGCTGTTGTAGAAACTGATGATGAAGCTGAAAGGACAGAAAAAAACTTTCTGTGGTTTCAGTTAATATTGTTATGAAAAACAAAAACATTTTAATTAAAACTCTTCAGATTTCTGGAAGCTTCTGCTGGCCGGTTATTTATGCTTTCAGCTGCAGCTCCATTATTCTGCTGCTTCACTGGAGGAAACACTGCCACCATCAGGGCACCTTGTGAACTACAGCAACACGGATTAGATTATAATCTGGTAAAGTGATTGGCTTACAGGTTTTCCGTAGGAGTCGTGAACCGGTGAGATGATTCCTCCGATCACGATGAATCGTCCCGTTTTGTGCAGATATTCTCTGGCTTTTTCTGGAGGAACAAACAGAAACAAGGAGCTGAACTAAACCTGAGGTTTAAATAAACACAAAGATTTATTAATGTTTACCAGGAGGAAACGATTAAAAAGGTTTTTAAAGGAAACAACGATGTTTAATCAACGCTTAAACATCTGGTTGAACATCTGCAGACATCAGAACCGGATTCAGCTCCAGATGTTGTCTGTTCATATCTGTCCTATTTAAATCCTGGATTCATCACAGCTGAAGCTTCAGGTTTAAACCTCATTTTTATTTATCTTTATTTATTCAGGTTTCATTAAGATCAGGGTCTCACTAAAGACAGATCTGATTTTATAACAGTAATAAATGTTATCAGGTTATTTTACTGAAACATCCAGAATTAATCAGGTTTGAACTGGACAGACTTGAAGAATCTGTCAGATTTGGTGTGAATCAGATTTAAATCTTGTTTTGTTTTTCTGGTGACTTCCTGTTTCTGAATCATTCACGCTTTTATATTAAACTTCTGTTTCCTGCTTCTTCCCATTTCTGACGTTTTAAAAGGCGTTTAGTTGGAGAAGAACCCAGAAGGTCAGAGGTCAAGGAGAACAGCTTCCTGTTGGATTCATTTCATTTCATCTCATTTGAATCTTTTACTGGTTCTGGACCTGAAATCCCAGTCCACCAGTTCTGCTCCTCCAGTTGCAGTTTCTAACAGTATATCTCTGTTTTGACCCAATCAGAAACTGAAGCTGCCTGATAATTAGACACACCTGGATGGAGGAGGAGCTTCAGGCCACGCCCCCTTTCACTGTAAACACCTGGTCTGATCAAATCCAACCAGGATGCAACTTTATGAGCTTAGAGTTGGAAAATATGTGTAAAATGATATATAACCTCATATCTGTGTGTATTACTCTGGGTTCTTCCCACAGTCCAAAAACATGACTGTCAGGTTAATTGGTTTCTCTAAATTGTCCCCAGGTGTGAGT